TCTTTTTTTTTGAAGGAAATTGCTACAATCCTTTGAAATTAAAATCCTAAATTATAACATTTAAAGCAGTATTAAAATTTTATCCAGTTTTGGTGTTAACCTTTTGGTCCTTAGTTTTTTTTCTTTCTCCTCTCCTAAGACTGTGGAATAAAACATTGTACTCATGATTCTGTCTCTCTCTTGCTTTAGTTATTCCTTAAAGACAGTAAATAGTTCTAAAGTTCCTACCTGTAAGGTGCTTTCTAAACTCCATTCTCATTTACTACCCAAACCTTAGTTTTTCTGTCTGCATATGAATGCCAAGTCTAAATATCAGGGCCCAAATTCCAATCTCTCTTTTCCAAATATTTGCAGGTTAGATAGCATCAGCCTCTCAAACTTCAATCCCAAACAAATCATTTGTTCCTTCCTCAAACTCCCTGATATTTCAATGTCTAGCTATTCTCCCAGCCATGCAGACTCTGAGGTTTAGTTTTCATCACTTCTTATATCCTCTAAAGCTTTGCCACTCAAAATGCCCAAGGGTCAGTAGCATCCATCAGCTCACCTGGGAGTTTATTAGAAATGCAGGATTTTAGCGCCCCCCTCAGCTGTACTGAATCAGAATCTGCAGTTTAACAAGATTCCCAGGTGGTTCCTATGCACATTAATGCCTGAGAACCACGGCCCTGAGAAGAAAGGAACTGCTGTGGTCTGAATGTGTTCCCCCAAAATTTGTAGGTTAAAATCCTAAACCCCGGCTGGGCAAGGTGGCCCACGCCTATAATCCTAGCACTCTGGGAGGCCTAGGCGGGAGGATCGCTCAAGATCAGGAGTTCGAAACCAGCCTGAGCAAGAGCGAGACCCCGTCTCTACTAAAAATAGAAAGAAATTAGTTGGGCAACTAAAAATATATAGAAAAAAATTAGCCGGGTGGTGGGCATGCCTGTAATCCCAGCTATCGGGAAGCTGGAGGCAGGAGGATCGCTTGAGCCCAGGAGTTTGAGGTTGCTGTGAGCGAGGCTGATGTCACAGCACTCTAGCCTGGGCAACAGAGTGAGATTCTGCCTTAAAAAAAAAAAATCCTAAACCCCAAGAGATGAGGCCTTTGGGAGGTGATAAGGTCATGAGGATGAAGCCCTCATAAATAGGATTAGTGTTCTTATAAAAAGAGCCCTAGGGAGCTTATTTGCCTCTCACACCATATGAAGACACTGCAGAGCAGTTAGAAGTCTGCAACCCAGAAAAGGGCCCTCACCAGAACCCACCCATGCTGGTTGGTGCCTTGATCTTGGAGTTCTTAGCCTTCAGAACTGAGTAGTGAACTTCTGTTTTATATAAGCTACCTGGTTTATTGTATTTTGTCACAGCAGCCTGAATGGACTAAGACGGGGACCCTCTCTCTTATCCATGGTAACTTAGCATATGACAGTTACTCAGGTCCTTGTTCCGTATCTGTATATAGCTCTTTCAACTGAATATTGATAATGCTTTCATCCTATCCCTCTTGCCTTCTAAGAATTTCCTTCTTTTATCTTCTCTTTCTTCTACGTCATCAATTTCTCCTTCTCTGTTGCTCATCATCATCAATGTAAATGTCTTACAAAAGTTTTCTAAGTTGTCATGAACAGAAACGAACAAACCCAGTGGATTTAGGCACGAGAAGACTTTATTACAAGAACTCTGCTGCTGGCATCGCCACTCCCTTGAGTACTAGATGCTGGGTCTGCCTAGCACTGTAGCTAGTATTGCTCCAATCCTGCTACAACCATGGCTTCACCGCCAGAGTGCTTCTCCCATCCCAGCTCTAGACCTCCAGCCTGAGCAGCTACATCTGATTGGTGAGGCCGCCCACACTCTACCCGATGGGGAGGCTAGAGAAGTGAGTACCTGGCATTTTCAGCTTGTACGACAGAAGACTCTGCCTCCCAACAAGATGCATAATTCCATAATTCATCATTTAAGGAATTTTAGGAATTTCCTAAAAATGAAAGTATCCAGATATTACTTGAAGGCCAAAAAGATTATCAAATCTCCACCACATTCAAACATCTTATCTTAAAAAAAATCCTCATTTTCTTTTCCTTCCTTTGCAATATTTCTGAAAAAAGGTTGTCTGCACCTGCTTTATTTCTTCATATCCTATTCACTATTCATGCCACACCAATCTTGCTTCTATCCTCAAAAACCATCATATTTCCAAACTCAATGAATACTTCTTGGAGCTTGTGTTGCTTGATCTCTCAGTATTATTAGATCTTCTCTTGACTTTCATGGCATCAAGGTCCCCTGGAATTTTTCCTTTCTTTCTGACTCTCTATTTCAACCTTCTTTTCTGGCTCTTCCTCTGCTCATTTTCTGTTTGTTTTTATGGCTCTGTCCCTGCCTGTCTTCTTTGGCTCCCTTTACTCCCTAAGTGTTCTCATTCAATCCCAGTCTTTTTCTGGCCTTAAAACTTTAGAATTCAGGGCCAGGCACGGTGACTCACACCTGTAATCCTAGCACTCTGGGAGGCTGAGGTGGGCGGATTGTCTGAGCTCTAGGAGTTCGAGACCAGCCTGAGCAAGACCCTGTCTCTATTTTAAAAAATAGAAAAAAATTAGCCGGGCATGGTGGCACATGCCTGTAGTCCTAGCTATTTGGGAGGCTGAGCCCAGGAGGAGTTTGAGGTTGCTGTGAGCTAGGCTGATGCCACACCACTCTAACCCCGGGCAACAGAGTGAGACTATCTCCAAAAAAAAAACAAACAAAAAAAAAAACCTCTGGAATTCTTAAAGTTGATCATTCTTGCCTTTGAAAAAATAAAATCTGTAGGCTGGTAACCTCTTTGCTGAGCTCTATAGAGGTTTGCATTTCCAACTGCCTATTTCATGATTCTAACTTAAGAATCTGATATACATTTTAAATTTAATATGCTCATAAGGCAACTCTTAATTTTCCCTCTCTTAACTGGGTCCTTAAGAAGTCTTTGTAATTTCAGTAAATTGCTTCATATTTTACCTGGTGTTTGAGCTATAAATCTAACACTCATCATCCTTGATTTATTTAATATTTTTTTCTCATAGTCTCATATCCCATTGATCCGCAAGTCCTGTATTTTCTGCCACCAACATATATCCCAAATTCACTTACTGCTCTCCTTTCCCTGCATATACCAGCTCATTCTAAGTCATCACCATCTTTTGCTTCTAACCATATTTCTATAGAACTGGCCAATTCCTTCCTCTCCACCCTCATTTCAAAGTGTTCTCCCCTCTTACCTGCAATTGTGCTTCCACTGGCCTCCTTCTTCTTCCTCAAACAGGCCAAGCTCTTTACTGTCTCAAAGTTTTGCTTTTCTTTCTACTGCTGACACTGCCTTGGAATACTAATTCCCACCCCAGTTTACCCCATGTTTGACTTCACCTTTTCCTTCAAGACTCCCCTCTATTTTTACTGTCCCAGATATAGCCACCACTTACCCTATCAAATCATCTCATTTAGTTTGACTTAGTAATTGAAAATGTTCTGTAATTACAGTAGTCCCCACAGTTTCACTTTCCATGTTTTCAGTTATCTATGAAATAGAAAATTCCAGGCTAGGCGCAGTGGCTCACTCCTGTAATCCTAGCTCTCTGGGAGGCCGAGGTGGGCAGATCGCTCAAAGTCAGGAGTTCGAAACCAGCCTGAGCAAGAGCGAGACCCCATCTCTGCTAAAAATAGAAAGAAATTAGTTGTCCAACTAAAAATATATAGAAGAAATGAGCCGGGCATGGTGGCACGTGCCTGTAGTTCCAGCTACTTAGGAGGCTGAGGCAGGAGGATCACCTGAGCCCAGGAGTTTGAGGTTGCTGTGAGCTAGGCTAACGCCTTGGCATTCTAGCCCAGGCAACAGAGTGAGACTCTAGCACAAACAAAAAAAAAAAGAAAGAAAGAAAGAAAAGAAGATTCCAGAAATAAACAATTCATAAGTTTTAAATTGGGCACTATTCTGAGTAGTGTCATGAAATCTCTTGCTCCATTCCACTTGGGATGTGAATCATCACTTTGTCATCATGTCTGCATGTATAGACTACCTGCCCATTACTCACTTATTAGCTGTCTCAGTTGTCAAGACAGGAAATAACAGAGTATATATTGTGTATATATGTATATATGTCTCCTTTGTTTCGGGCATCCACTATGGGTCTTGGAACATAGACCCCCTTCCCATGAATAAGGGGTGACTACTGTACCTTATTTACCTGTTCATCAGTTCAGAGTATTTCTCTCCTGACAAGAAGGTAAGTCTGATCAAAGCATAGACCATGTCTTTTTAGTGTATGTCTATATCCCTTGAACTAAAAAAGAAGGATTATCTAACACATGGTAGACATTCAATAAATATTTGGTAAATAATTTAATGCATGGATAATTAAGTGAATGACTGATGTTAATTAAATTCCATTGAGATTTCCTAACCTTCTCATTTATAACTGATTCAGCTTTAGCTATCAGTAATAGCTCGACAGCTAGTTACCCAAGAGAAATTTCCTTACTTATTCATTTACTTTTGATTCTGCCTTGGACTATTGATTGTTTTCATTAATAATAATAATAATACAATGCGTTGGGCAGCTAGTAGGAAAAGCATAGCAATGATGCTGATATATTCAGAACGTCTCCTGGCTAACGTGATAAGTTTCTAAATGAGTAACGTCCACACATCAATCATTCCTCTACTTCCTGCAGTTGAATCTCCCTAGAGGAGTCATCGGATCCTCTCAATCTTGATGACTGACAAGATGTCCCTGCGGACTCCCCAACTCCACTGCAGCTGGGGAGGGGCTCCTTGACACCAAGATTTTAAAAGTCCCAACTTCAGGACAAGATCAGAAAACTCACAGGTAAAGCTGTAGTTATTGCAGAGTTCTGAAAAGAAGTAGAACATGAAGGTAAGTCAAGGTTTTATTCATCTGTGACTTTTTAAAGCTATTTTATAAAAAGCTTTATAGCTTTTTACCTATTTTATGTTTCATAAATATGACTTTAGAATAACAGAATCATTTGGTTTTGCTAAGAAAAAAATTCACTCATTTACTCAATTCCTTATGTGGGTAACGGAATGAAAATAACGTATTTCCAAATAATTTTTTTTTTAAGTAGAATCTTATAGATTAACTAGACGGTGGACTGGGGAAACACCTCTACCTACTGAGTATTAAAACAGAACACAGTGAGAAGGAAGGAGTTTTTCTATCGTCCAGGCATCCAGGAAGGAAGCACAAGATCCCACCCGCACAGAAATGACCCTCTTTGGTTGATCGTTTTATGCAGGGACTCAGAAGTCTGGCTGCAACAATCTTGGCTCTTTTCCTGGTGTTTTCTGTCCTGGGAAACTCCAGCAGCGCTCCGCAGGTAATGCAATGCAAAGTGGACGCTGTGTGCCCCACTCTGCTCTTTCTCTTTTTTAACTTTTTCTTTCTTTTCCCTCTTTCTCTAATAGAGGAATGGGCTGCAATGTTTCTCTCTTCTTCCCCGGGTTACAGGGACTGTTCGAGAGAAGGAACTGGACCCCTCAAGCCATGCTCTACCTGAAAGGGGCACGTAAGTTGCAAGCCCTCTCTGCTCTCCCTGCCACGGTAACGGAGGAGCCTTCGGCGGGCGTGAATACCGTGAACGGATAGAAAATGTCGAGAGTTTGTTCCCTTAAATAATCGTGGCCGTCCCGGCCGCTCGGTTCATGAAAGAGACAGGTGGGGGAGGGGGGGCAGCGGGAGGGAGAAAGACTCCCCGGTTTTGTTAGCAATCCCCCACCCCAAACTGGAGGGTTGCCGTTTCTTGGCGCACTTGGGGGACTCTGGCGTTGCCTGGGAAACCGTCGCCCGGGCTCGGGCGCGCGACCCCTGCGGTGACCTCGGCTCCAAAGCGCCCCCAGGCGTCCGGCAGGGCGCGGCGCTCGGCTCGCGGTCTCCAGGGCGCGGGGCTCGGAGCGCGGGAGCCCTGCAGCCCAGCGCGACCCGCGACTGTCCCGGCCGGCCGGGCGGGCGGGCGCTGAGACGCGGGTGTCGCTTTTGCAGAGGGGCGCCGCTTCATCTCCGACCAGAGCCGGAGGAAGGACCTCTCGGACCGGCCACTGCCGGGTGAGTGACAAAGGGGAGCGAGGGCGCCGACCCTGCGACTTCGAGCGGGGTGGGTGGCGAGGGCAGGGCTCGCTCCGACGTGGCGCCGAAAGCGAGCGCCTCACCTCCCCACCGGCAAGACGCGGCCTGGGGTGGGCCGCGGTCAGCCGCGGGGAAGCCAGGCGGGCAGCAGCGACGGGGACGCCGGGCGAGCGCGGGATCGAGCGCGGGATCGCCACGTGCGGCCGCGCGCCGACGGTGGCAGGGGCGGGGCGGAGGCTGGGGCGCACCTGTCCACACCGCCCGGAGAGCTGACGTCCCCAGGGAGTCACTTATTCTAGGCCAGGCCTGGGGGCTTATCCCAGAGGGGGGGAAGAATGGAAAGAACTGTGCGAGTGCTTCCAAAAGTGTGCCCGCGCGTTTATGTAGGATGTATTCAGTTTCTTCTTAAACACTATCATTATTAAAATAATAATAGGAATAATAAAAATAATAGGAATAATAATAATAAAAATAATAGGAATAAAAAATAGGAACTCACCTCAGAACTTCAAATACGTGCATCCAAGTCATATTACTAGAAAGAGCTATCAAAAGGTTCAAAATCAAAAATAATTAAGTAGGGGCCATGAAGAATAGAGCCACGGACTGTTGTTTTTACACGATAAACCTTTTCATGCCATTGGATTAAAAAAAAAAACAATCACAGTACAATTTAATACAATTTTAAAGATTGAAATGCTAAAAATAAAAAAGTATGTTTATTTTGAAAAATACCAAACATCGTGCTGAGCACAGAGTAGATGCTTAACAAATTTTTGTTTAGGTTCTTCAAGCTTGCAGTGTAATTAAGCTTTTTATTTATTTTATGAGGGTAAGGTTTGCTTTCCCACTTCAGTTGCCCCCAGGTTGAAAATCGTGGTTTGTGTTGAACTAGAACCGTTTGTCTTTTGTCAACTTAGGTTTGAAATAACTTTGAACACTTATCGGGTGCTTGTTGAGTCAAATAATCACCTCATATGTGGCCAAGAATGTAGATTATTATCTCAAAGTGCTTTGAAAGTAACAAGAGCGGACATAATACAGGCTTTGTGCAGGAAAACACCTAAAGCTTTTGTCCAGACGTCCCATTTTAAACCGCGAAGAGGGACATTTCTCATGGGCTTTTTGTCTTAATCCTTAAAATTCTCATCCATACCCTGAACGTATACTCAACCTAACCACTTGTAGGCCATTTCTGAGAGAAATGTGAAATGTTTCAATTTATAAAAAATCTGTCTTCTGTGGAAGGGGCCTTTTGCTTAGGGGTCAAAAATCTATTTCATAGCGGTATTTTTAGTATTATGGCATACTAGAGTAGGATTTGCCTATGTGAATATTTCAATACTAACAGACTCTGTATACATTTTTGTTTCTCCAGAAAGACGAAGCCCAAATCCCGAACTGCTAACTCTTCCAGAGACAGCAGCCCTGTTACTGGCTTCCTTACAGAAACCACGAGAAGGTACAAGTATAGTGACCTCTTTCAACTGCAGGACAGAGTATCTGTGCTTACTTTTGGGATTTTGTGTTGATTTTTATAACTCCTACCCCTACCCACCCAGAAATTCACACAGATGTTTATTCTGTGAAGACCAGTATATTGCTCATTAAAGTGAGTCCCAAGAATATAAAAACATTTCTGTGGGTGAGTCTGGGGAATTTTATATGCATTTCACAATCCATAGGCTACTGTAATCTTTATTTCTTTTAGAACTCTTAAAACTGAAAGAGCTCAAAGTCCATCTTCATTGTTTTATGGTTGAACAAACTAAGGTCAAAAAGATTAAATAACCACAAATCCAATTGCTCACTATTAAAAGTTAAACCAAAATGAAACTGCTAGAAGTCAATTGTTTTTTACTTATAAACACAGCAGTCTCATATGGTTCACTCCAATAGATACGGCCCAGTTCTAATTCTAAGCCTGTGCAATTTTCATTGTTTTTATAGCTTCTTCTGTATCAGGATTAGATGTAATCTTCAAATAGAGGCACTCTGTCCAGGTAGCATTAAAACTACTAGTTAAATTAAGGCATCTTGGTAATGGGTCAAACAAGTCTTTTGAATCTAAAAATCCTGGCTTTAAATCCCAGCTCTGCTGCTTATAATGAAGTAATGATGTACCCATGTGCAAGGTCTCTATAAAAACCCTTGAAACAAGGTATATAATTCGTATGACTATTAAAAAGTCTTCAAAGCATAATAAATAAACCTAGAATGTTCTCTTTCAAAAAATTATAATGATGCCATATTTAAATTTAAATTTTTTTAATTTAATTTAAAAAATTAAAATTTAACTTTGATTTTTTTAAAGACATAATTTAAATTTTTTTTTTTTTTTGAGACAGAGTCTCACTTTGTTGTCCAGGCTAGAGTGAGTGCCGTGGCGTCAGCCTAGCTCACAGCAACCTCAAACTCCTGGGCTCGAGTGATCCTTCTGCCTCAGCCTCCCGAGTAGCTGGGACTACAGGCATGTGCCACTATGCCCGGCTTATTTTTTATATATATATATCAGTTGGCCAATTAATTTCTTTCTGTTTATAGTAGAGACGGGGTCTCGCTCTTGCTCAGGCTGGTTTTGAACTCCTGACCTTGAGCAATCCGCCCACCTCGGCCTCCCAAGAGCTAGGATTACAGGCGTGAGCCACAGCGCCCGGCCCATAATTTAAATTTTTAAATATTTTTTTAAAATGCATATAGTGTGTGGTCTTTTGGTCAAAACACATGCTGCTGGCCTAGTTTTCTGACATCTTTGCTGTTGGAGAAATCTTATGTGCCCTGTTCCTAGTATTAAATGGGCCATGTGGGAAATGGGAAGAGAACAGAAGAGACTTTCTGGCTTCAAGCGTTGGCTTTGTTGTCAAAAAATACCTATGAGAGGCAAGTAGAAGAGAGTGGGATAAAGAGGTCTTTTGAACTCAGAGCAAGGCCATGGCTAACTTGGGCATAAAGAGGATTATATCAATCAGCAAATAAGTATTTCTGCCTGTTATGTACCATGCACTGTGGCAGGCAGAGAAGAAAGTAGATTAAGCAAAAGCAGGCCTTTGCAATGAAAATATAGGGTAAACAGTCAGTGAAATCATGGAACAGAGGAGTAGTGGTTATGATAGAGTTATTGCTACTGCCACTGCTACTACTAGCTAATAATGATTGAGTGCTTACTATAATGCAGTGGGCCAGGCACTGTTCTAAGCACTCGATATTGGATGTGTACATTTAATCGTCATAATAACCTTAGGAGGTAGGCACTCTTATCCACATTTTACAGATGAGGAAATAAAGGCACAGAAAGATGAAGTAACTTGTCCACCATCATGTAAGAGGTATATAGTGGAACTGTGGTGAAGACAGAAGGTAACTTGATTTTTATTGGAGAATGAATGGGATGACCTATGGATTTTCTGCAGAGACATGGCAGAGTAAAGATAGAGTCTGGTTATGACACATAGGGTAACAATAAGAGAAATAACAACAGCTGCAATATGGGAGCACTTACTATGTGTCAGATGTTATTGCTAATCTTTATAGCTCAGAAAACTGAGACTTCAACAGGTATATTTACTTTCTTAAGGCCATGCAGAGAGTAAGAAGCGATATTGGGATTTTAGCTCAAGTCTGTGCTACTCTACAGCTCTTTCAGTTATGCTATGCCAGCTGTCAAATGGATTCTATCAAAGAGAAAAAGTTGGAGTGGGGAACCCATAAGAAACCAGAAAATAATACAGGAGTGAAGTGAGGAGGTGCAGTCAGTCAGTGGGAGTGGACAAAGAGACTCTGAGCCACAAGGGAAAGAAGAAAACATGGGATCCCTGTTCACTAAAGATATAAAAGAGAATCCAAAGTGAAGCACATTTTTAATGTGTTGTGTGTGAGAGTTTACAATGGTGAAGATGATAATAAGGAATGAAAATTTCTGTGGATATGGAGAAGGGTTCAATTCAAGGTCAAAGGGACATATTTTAGTGAATAAAGGCTTATAGGTCAGTGGTTCTCCACTGTCTATCTGTGGACTTCTTGCTTCAGAGATGCCTGGAGAGCTTACTGAAAAATACAGATTTCTTGGCCTTAGGTCCAGAGATTCTGATTCTGTATGACACGAGTGAGGCCCCAGAATCTGTATCCTTAAGAATTTCCCCCGCATCGTTCTTATGATTGGTCAGGTTTGCAAACAACTGGAAATTCAGAGATGGTTCATAAAGGTTAAAACCATGAAAATGGAAATTCCCCCCATCCCCCAGGGCTTAGATATAGCAGAGGAAGGACAGATAATAAAAGATTTGCTTTGGAAAACACCCAAAATGCAAGGGAAGAAGGGGGAAATAGTATTAGTAAAGGGATATTAAAAGGAGCAGGGAGAAATGTAAGAGGAAAAGCAGAATAATAGAGTATCCCAGAATCAAGAATGCAAAGTTCCAGGAAAGGAGTAATCAGAGCATCAACTATAGCAGAATGGTTAGTAAGAATACAGAACGCAGGGAGCATTAAGCAGTGGCTCACAAGATTTCCCCTTGGCTCCTGCCCAGTGACACAAGTTGCTGCTGCTGGGCCCTGTCTGAAAGGGAATTTGGTTTAGAGGGAATTTGGTATAAGAAAGTAAGCTGCAGAGTTAAGAGAAAACAGATATTAGATATTAGAAAGCTAGGTGAGGAACAGTTGGATAATACGTATGGGATGCTGTATCCAAGGCAAAATTTTTTTTAAATTCAAGATTTGGAACACTCAACTGATTTTTGCCTCTTCTTTTTGTCTCATTTCCTCCCCATACCTCTAGCTCACCTAATAAAGGAAAATTTGTAAATGTGTTCCCATGTTATCTTCCCCAAGTAAGATGCATTTTAACAGACAATAGAGACAGTCCTTTGACGAAAGTGAATGATTGTAATGATGGATATTTTAGACAGGAGGCAATTTATCAGAGCAAGGCATGTGGCCCTCAAATATATCATGTTGTAGTTTCATTCATTATAAAGATTCAGATGTAAAATTGGAACTTCTCGATCTATCTAAACCCGAGGGGAAAGTTTTTAAAACCAAACAAATCCAAACCCATTTGGGGAAAGTTTTCAGTAGCAGAGTCTACGAGTTAATATAATTGAGGGGGTTAAATGTTTATTTCCTGAGGTTCTCTTCATTTCACCTTTTACTCTTTTTTTAATAAAATACAGAATATGTGCTTAAGTAAAATTCTTTTTTCTTACAGATGAAGAAGACAATTTTGATCAAACCAGATACCTGGAGGGCAGTCTGCTAAACTGGTGAAGAAATACCAGATTATGTGCAATTACAGTTCTATTCTGTTGAAAACATGAACCACATGAATAAAACCCTTGGACCCTTCTTATTCCATTTGTAATCTTAGGAATGTGCATAGCTAGTTTTATTCTTTCAGAAGCAAAAGAAATGTAGAGTTCTTAGCTGAGAACATCATCACCTTCTTCCACTGCTTCAGGTCCTGTTTAGATCACCAAAAGGTTTAGATCACCTTGTATCTTACTCTTGAGTTTTTTAGAGCATTTATAATGATAAGGCTGAACACTCTGAAGTGTTCTTGCCTTTTCTTACACAGCCAGTACCTGTCTTGATCTTGAGTTATTGGTTTTTTCATCCCAGTTGCACTTTGTTGTCACTCGAGAGAGATTCTCCCTCTCTGTTTCCCCTTTTTCCCACTGGGAGGAGGGTGGCAAGCATGGCAGGATGGGAAAAAGGAGAGAACGTCTCTCTGTGGTTCATCCAGGTTCAATAACTTTTTCAGAAGGGAAATTGGATGACTGGGGAGAAGCCCTGTGATAAGAACACTTCAGTGTGGTTGCTGAGAGAGAGGACAGCCGGCGAGGTGGCAGGTTCACTGAAGATCCAGAGCTCCCCTTGCACTCTTTGGAAATATCCCTGAATTCTGTTTAGAAACATAGATCTAAATGGTACTGGGAAATAAGCTGGTGGAAACGTACTCTGCTTGTGTATATACCACATAAATGAAACAAACCAGTTTTTTAAAAGGAATCCATTTTCCAGGACCAAACAGACTCAACAGATGCAAATACTCTGCTTCCTCTAAATGGCTAGAGCTCTAGCCTTGATGTGACATCATAACATTATATAAAGGCACCCAGATAACATAAGTGCATGGTAATATATGCCTAATTTACTCCTTTTCAAAGTCAATGTGGATTCAATACCATATGAATGTATATATATATATATGTACATATACACACACACACACACACCCCTACAGCAAGCATGATAATATATTTATTTGGAATTATAATATGACCATCATGTTAATTATTTTTATCTAATCCATTCAGAATTGTGACTGATAAATGTTATAAGTGGAACGTATTGTTAATTCTTATTGTCATCAGTATATAGCCGTTATTTTGTAGCCAAAGAATATCTTTATGTGAATGTCTCTGTAACTTGGAATTGTAATTTCACTGTGTTAAAAAATCAAAACCCTGCTTGTAAGATTTGTCTGTATCTTGTTTCAAAATTGAATAATGAAACTGAATTCAACTTAATGTAACATTAATCTCTGTCCAAAAATAATATGTGAGTATTAAAAGTTTGTGTGGTATTATAATAGGCACCTGTCATTAATTCTGATTTGATTTTAAAGTTGATTTATTAGGTAGTGCATATGTCCAATTTATTGAAAATTATTTACTCATCAGACATAAATTTGTACATACTATTTAAATATTGTTTATTCTAAGAATGCTTTTAACACCTATCATATGAAATAATTCTTCCTATAACTACCCAGAACAATCTCAAGTATTTCATACTAAACAACGTTTTAAAAAGCTATCTAGGCCAGGTGTGGTGGCTCACGCCTTTAATCCTAGCACTCTGGGAGGCCAAGGAGGGAGGAATGCTTGAGGTCAGGAGTTTGAGACCAGCCTGAGAAAGAGCAAGACCCCATCTCTACTAGAAATAGAAAGAAATTAATTGGCCAACTAAAAATATATAGAAAAAATTATCCAGGCATGGTGGTGCATGCCTGTAGTCCCAGCTACTCAGGAGGCTGAGGCAGGAGGATCGCTTGAACCAAGGAGTTTGAGGTTGCTGTGAGCTAGGCTGATACCACGGCACTCTAGCCCAGGCAAGAGAGTGAGACTCATTCATTCTCAAAAAAAAAAGCTATCTATCTAAATGACCAATGGCTGCTAAAATATAGCTCTAAGTACTATAAGTACTAGAATTTCTTGAATGTTTTGCCATACAAATGTGCTTTTAAATTACAAAGGTCCCTCTCCCCAGTTTGCTTTTCAACTATCTTAGGATGTCGTTGCAATTCTCTATTCCTATATTTTTATATAAGTGATCATAGATCAAAAAGCTTTCATACTGTATGGCTTGTGTTTTAAAATTGGGAAATTTCTATCTTCAAGGCATTCCCAGGTACTAGAATACCTCGTGGCCTCCAGGTGGGACTTTCAGCCTCTTTATGTCCCTACCTGTCCTCTGTATCCCACCTCCCCTGTGGTATCTGGCCTCCATCCAGGGCTCTCAATTATTCTTTGTCTTCCTGGGTTTCCAGGTAGCTGCCTCCGCTTTCCCCACACCACCACTGTGATTCTGAGAGGAGAGAAGAGGACAGAGAAGCCCTGGCTTGTTCAAATCAGCCTGCAGCTCCCATTTCTTCTTTACCCAGTTATGAGAAATGAAATTGTGTATCCTGCCAACCTTGGGTTACATTATTTTAGCTCAGCCTCAGGAGAAAGGGAGGTTGGTAATAGAACTTCATACAGTCCAGTCTGTTCATACTGGACTGTAAATTCCTTTAGGAAGAGTTCGTTTCTAATTTGGTTTGATCCTCACGACCACCATGCAAGATGGGTAATTGTGTCACCCACTGTATTTCAGAGAAATCTGGGTTCATCCCATGAAGCCTCTTTGTTGGACCTCCCTAAGTAGACTTGACCAGTGTCTCTTCTGAGTTCTCCTTGTCCCCTGGAAAACTATGAGTAGAGCACTTGTAACATTTCATACTCTCATCTCTCTGTTCACTCTGACACTTATCATGAAGGAAAGGGTAGTGTCTTAGTCTCCCCAGGCTGCTAAAACAAAATACCATAAACTGGGTGGCTTATAAACAACAGAAATTTATATTTCACAGTTCTGGAGCCCAGGGAGTCCAAGATCAAGGTGTTGGCAGAATTGGTGTCTAGTGAGGGCCCATTTTTCCACAGATGGCTCTTTCTCACTGTGTCCTCACATGGTGGAAGGGGCAAGGCAGCTCTCTGGGGCCTCTTTATAAGGGCACTAAAGAGCCTTCAGGATCTAAATCATCTCCCAAAGGCCCCACCTCCTTTGTGGATACCATCTCATTGGGTATTAGGATTTCAATACAGATTTTCCTCAATTGATTGTAGAGTGGTTACATTTAGGAGTTTTTTGGACTTAATGATGGCGTGGAATCGATACACAATCAGTATGCTCCTCGACTTATGATGGGGCCGCATCCAGACAGAACCATCATACATTGAAATTATCCAGACGTAACCCTATCATAAGTGGAGGAGCGCCCGTATGTAAACATTCAGGGCACAGCAGGTGGTACGATCGGTAAGAAAATCTCTGGCTGTCAGCTGATCAGGCATCACACATTATTTTCTATAGTTTCTGTCCTCCAATTGATGAATACATACATGCTTTCAAAGCATCATTTTTTTGCACCTCTGTTTCTCCCAATAAGACCATTTATTTATGCAACCATTTATTTCTGTACAGCGCTCTGTGCTAGACACAGAGTCATCTAACAATCACATTTGTTTCTCCTCACTAGGCTTTGTCAGTCTCAGGGAAAGGATAAATAAATGATTTGAGCAGGAGGATGGAGTCAAGTGGCAGCAGCTGTCTAAATAGGGGGCCAAGCATAGAGTAGAAACTGACTCTTACACACGCCACTCAACACCAGATGTTTGCAAAGTCAGTTAATTTTCACATGCACTATCGTTTGCGCTCATTTCTCATAATAGAACTATTCTTTCATTCAGCAAAAAGCACTTAAATGTTAAATTTTATTGAGATATTTTACTGCGCAGCTCACACTAACAGACCAACCAATTACCAATCAAAACTATTATTTGCATACACACACTCTGTGACTTTACTAGTGATACATTTTCATGGTTATTGTAACATGAACCCCTCTTTATCATGAGATCTTTTTGGCACTTCAGCAAATGAATTTGCAATATAAATCCATCTCGCATTTTTCTGCTTCCCAGTGCAGAGTATTTCAAATTGTTCTGCAGATGCTGAGTTAATTGTGCAAATCCACAGGGTATTTTTCAAGGGTTAAGTTTTAAGCAATTTATTTCTCTTCTTCCTGAACCTCTAAATAAGGTGAATTTGCAACCATCTTCCATTTTGGTCTGATTTATTGCTGGTGTCCAAATAGTCTTCTACTTTTCCTAGCTAACGGGCAACAGGGGAGCTTGATTAGTTTTCCACTGGTTTTGTACCATCTGACATGTTGTTGTAACTCTTCCATTATTGCCATCAACAATCCAGCACTGACAAGACCAAAACCTTTTTAAAACCTTTTCGGACCAAAGCCAACTGATACATTAATCAAAGTGTTTACTGTAAGCTCAATGGAACTTATAATGAATGGCTACTTAGTTACAATGAATGGCTACTTAGTTACAATAAAAGCAGTCCAAGACTGAATGTGGTTTTTGGTTTTTGCCAAATTTAGATTTACATTTAAAACATAAATCTGCTTAACTGTAATCATTCCACTATGTCTCTAAGCACATCACAGAATATGTTAGAGATATTGTCCTTATTATAACTAAATAGATGCTCTCTTTTTTGCCCCCACTAATTATTTGTAAAAGATAGTTTGAAATGTTATTCTTCACTAGGCACTATTCATGACAGGTGCTTTACACATGTTATTTAAATGTCTAAAAGATTTTTAAACAACTCATTATCAACAAAAGTTAAATTATTAAATATTGATGTATTTATTCGTTTGGATTTAACCATTTATCAGCTTTGGAAGATTGACCAAATTTTCAAAAAGTCCTTCCATTTAAATAATAGAAAAATTGTTACAGTAAGATGGTACAGTGCAGATGGTAACATCTATTTATCGTTAATTTGGGCATGAATTCTAGATTTCAAAAGTGACATAAATATGCATTAATATGCATCAAGATATGGATCTAAGACAGCTATTTGCTTATGAATTTTGTCTTTTTAAAGCTAGATATTAATTCATGGTTCTGATCCATGAGAAAAGTGAAAATAACCAATAAAGAACTAGTTATTTAAAATATGTAGGTAGTATACATTCATGGCTAAGATTAGGATTTTGGGGTAGGGGAAATGAGAGACTTGCGTGGTGGGGTATAGAAGCTGAATAAATACCAAGCAAAGGATTATAATAACAATTTTAAAATAAACACTAGTAAGAAAAATTCTTATTGCTTGAGTTCACCATTTTTAAAAACACATCCAGTCTTCCCCCTTTAACTAATTCTCCTCTTTGTGTTTAAATTTACTGGGGAAACATGAGGTGGGGAGAATAACTTGGATTTTATTCTAAATTACAAAGCTGCCCTTTACTTAATCTCTTCCACTTTTTAGGCACACAGTAAATTCCATTGAAATATTTAGAAGAAGATGATGAAATCTGTAGTATTTTCATTCTTTTAAATAATCATTCTTACTCTGTTCTTGCAAAATTAGCTCTGCTCGGCACATGTGGAATTCAGTTCTTGTATTCACCATGCAGCTTTTTCTTCCCACGAGGAACATGGCTCAGAGAAAACGGTGACTTAATATTTAACCGGTCCCTTTCAGCCTCCTCTTCCTCATCGTATCTCTCATCGTCTGTTTCATCTTCCACGTCACTGCTCTGAGGACTGGAGTCCTGAGACCCCGAAGGAGAAGGTGGCACTGAGGAAGGCCTGGGGTATTTAAATCCTTCTGTCTGCTAAAGACAAAAATAAGACACAAATGTTACAATGATTTCTTGGTTTTCAGTGATGTAAACACTATGCATGTCCATTCAATAAAAAAAAAAAAAAAGTGGTAGATATCTTCTGTAATCTGTTTGGATGTAATTAAACTTAGATTCATTTTGATTTTGATACCACCAAGCTCAAGAAATATTCATTAAATACACAGCTATCCTTTCTTAAGCACTGAAATGTGCCAGGTGCTACATAGATGTCATCTCATTTAGTCTTTTTTTAACAACACTTTGATAAATTTGTCCTTACAGAAGACAATTGAGGGTTAGAAAGGCCAAATGACTTGTACAAGGTCACACAGCAGTCAAGTGGGAGAGCAGAGATTTGAAGTAGGTCTGTGATGACTCAGGATCCTTTCAACTCAACTGCCCTGTTACATTGCTGAGATTGTCAGTCTCTGTCTCTATGCCATTTTCTCCACAAAGTTGCAGGATGTGGGCAGCCTAGACATGCCATGGAAAGCCACCGACAAATGGCATTCTGGAATCCAGGTCATTTCGTTGACCCTAAAAGTCTACCAGTTGCTATTATTTCAGTTAATGAGAAAACATCACTAGGTTTTAATCAAATTGCTCTTCCACTTAAGGCTACTGAAATAACTTGTTTGATAAACACATACTGAGCACCAACTATGTAGCAGGCACCCTGCTACCTCTAAAGAAACAAGATGAAAAAACATGATCCCTGCCTTCTAGGAGAGCATGTGGTCGAATGGGAAGATAAATGTATGGAAGTGTTTTAGATATCTGTCACTTTGTATGTCAACTATTTTATACATTATTGTCATGTCATACATGTACAGTCATTTTAAGGTTCAAATACATTACCTGTAAGCAATATTAAAAAAAAAAAAAAAGAGCTGAGTCCTGCATTTAGCACCTGGTTCAGAAGGTGCTCAATACTTATTAGATATGATAAGTAGATAAATAAGTAGATAAGTGGACAAATGGATGAACATAGCTGAATTATCAACTAGTGAAGTGAGCAGCTCTAAATAAGCTAAGCAATCAACTCCCTGAATGCTAGAATCATAAACATGGGAGTTGGAATTTATAGATTGAGGGATTAAGAAAACCCTTTCACCTTCTTGAGGGCAGAATATAAGTTGTGTTATTAGGAAAAATTATTTATGGAAAAAGTAACCCCTAATTGAGAAATTACATCTGAAATTGAAGGATCTATAAATACCTGATGGGGAGCCAGAGTTTGGGGGACTCTTTTAATTTGATGATTCTTATAATCAGGCATATTTCTTTCCAGGAGTATGGAAGCTTATTTGTGGAGATTTCCATGAGATATTGGCACCTGTAGAGCATGGAGCTACTAAGCTAAGGGGGATCTCGGAGCCAATAGTATGGGTCTTATCTTCTTGTACCTAAGCTGTCCCTTAGTGGGTGAGAGGCCAAAGAAGTTTAGCTCTTGGACTGCTGTGTAGATTGCTGCAAGGACTAATCCCACTAAAGAGAAATAACTGCTGCTGCCCTACTTTAAGTTATATTCATGTCTTCTCCCCTTCTAAGTGATTCTGATGACAAATATGACCTATGGTAGTTTCATGAACATAAATGTCTAGTTGGATTTTAGAAGAAGACTCCTTGGTAGGCATTGATGAATAGAACATAATGCTCATCTAGTCCAATTCTTCCTGTGGTGCTTGGATTTACCCTATTTTACTCTTGCCAAGTGGTCATGCTATATTTAATTACTTCCTTGGACAGCAAATTCGCTTTCTGTTAAAGCAGCCCAGTTTATTTTTGAACAACTCCCAGAAGAACGGATATCTATCACAGCCTTCTCAAGCATTTAGGCAGAGAGAGTTTTCATTTGGAAGTGCTTCTCCAATGGCATGAATGAACTGTCTACTTATCCTATACAATAAGGCTAACTCTGAATCAAGGGCTTTGAGATAGTCTGATTTGCACGTTTCTCTATTCTTTGCTTTGACTCAACCCTATGAAAAAGTATAATAGCTTGGGTAGTTAGTTACTTCCAAAGTAAAAGGTGTTGTTAGAACTTGTCATACATAAGAAATTTTGCTTTCAAACAAATAAAAAATATGTTAAATATTTACCGTTGGTGGTGATCTGGGTTCCACATGGAATTTATCTGGAAAAGCTCTGCTTAATGCCAGGTGCCGGGCATGCTGGTAATACTATCGATAGAAAGCCAATCCATAGGTTAAAAAACAAAAGAGTTAGGTATCTTAATAACCAAGTTATTATATAAAGCTTTATTCTCCAAGTTCTGAAATATGTATTTGTTTGTTTGTTTGTTTGTTTTTGTTCTTATGAGTCAGAGTCTCGCTGTGTTGCCTGGGTTGGCATGCAGTGGTGTCATCATAGTCCATTGCGACCTCGAACTCCTGGGCTCATGCAATTCTCTTGCTTCAGCATCCTGAGTAACTGGGACTACAGGTAAAATATGTATATTTTTGTGTTTGTTTGTTTGTTTGTTTGTTTGTTTGTTTTTGAGACAGTGTCTCACTCTGTTCCCCAGGCAAGAGTGCCATGGGGTCAACCTAGCTCACAGCAACCTCCAACTCCTAGGCTCAAGCAATCCTTCCGACTTAGCCTCCCAAGTAGCTGGGACTACATGCATGTGCCACCATGTCCAGCTAATTTTTTCTATATATATTTTTAGTTGTTCAGCTAATTTCTTTCTATTTTTAGTAGAGATAGGGTCTCGCTCTTGCTCAGGCTGGTTTTGAACTCCTGAGCTCAAACGATCCACCTGCCTCGGCCTCCCAGAGTGCTAGGATTATAGGCCTGAGCCATTGCACCCAGCCTATATATATATATATATATTTTTTTTTTTTTAAGTGGCAGAATATATTTACTCTAAGTTCAAAATTAGAAAAGAAGTGGCAGTTTATAGTCTTATTATTTTTCAATGCATAGGCAAAAAAAAAAAAAAAAAAAAAAAAAAAAAAAAGAAAGAAAACTACAAAAAGTTGGGGGAGAACAGCCATAGTGGGCATACTGAGCTCTGAGTTGAGTGCTAAAGTGAATGCAAATGCTGGTTTCATTCTTCGGGGAAACAGTCTGGCATGGAAAAAGATGGGGTCTGAACAGTCAGACAAATTAGATATAAATCCTGCTTCAGATCTTAGATAAGAAACATAACTTCTGATTGGTTTGTCTTTCTGTTTCCATTATAAAATGAAGATAATAAAATTAATCATCCAGACTGTAATGAGCACTGGCATTAGTGTGTGCAGATACTCAGCCCATGGCAGCACCTACCATCATTTAGCCAGGAAAGTTCAGCAATATGCAAGCAGATACATTAAGTGAAGGAAAAGAAGATTATTTTAGTACTAAATCATCCAGTGCTAAGCTACATGAACATCTGGGTGTTTATAAACCTATTGTACTATTGAAAGGAGGTATTTCCCATGCTTGTCATTTTGAGAAACAATATTATCCCCACTCCCCACTGCAGTTGAAGAATATGACCACAGTATCTCTCTGGAGTGAAGCCAAGTAGGGACTTTTCTCTTGATATTTTCTTCAACTTTATAAAATGCTTCTGCATACCTGTAATGCATCAAGTTAAGCATTGATGATAGAATAGTAAAATTAGTGCTAGATCCTGAGATAACTTGCTATTATGGATGAACTCAAACTAAACATGAAGAATTGGGTTTAGGACTTTGCAAACTCACATTAAGTTTAAAAAGTACATGAAAACACTGAGATGTTAACAATTATGATATTGAATTAACTTTACAGGTTATGACCAGAAACAGCACTTCTATAGAGCCCAGTGGGATTTGGAAAGTAGTCCTCTGTATTTATCAAAAACTTCCTTACTCTGCCTAAGTATCTCCAATCCAGAAGATCTGAGAGTCTTTCAGTTCGGTTCCTCTGGATAATTCTTTGGCGGCGTGACTGTTTGCAAAATCCATAGAGAAACTTAGTCAGCTGATTGCAAGAATCATCAGGAGAGCGGAACCGCCTGTCAACAATGTAAATACCTGAAGAACACAAAAGCCAGAAACAGGTAAAAGTAGGGCTAATCTCAAAACATTTCTTCTATTCTTTATTGTCTCTTGGATTTCACCAAACACTATTCGCATCATCCACTCCCTAAATCAGCTATTGCGTTAACTTTACCTTTTCCCTTCTAAGGCTTTATTTTTTTCTGTGACTTTCTAACAGTTCACAACCATCAACAACACACAGCCAACAAAGTGGATCTTGCTGAAAACAATATGACAGTCTAGGGGTACACTGTATCAGCGCCAATTCTCCACGGAGCTACAGACTCTACCCGGGTATCAGTGCTTTTTAGGCTCCCTAATGTTGCCACTGTGTAGCCAAGGCTGAAAAACCACAGCTCTAGCCCAAGGAAAGAGAACAGTGACTGTGCAAGTGTAAAAGTCCCAGGGAATTGGCAATGGGTAAGCAAAGAATCCATCCCATTTTAACTCTTCCTGGGGCTAGGCAACATGGACAGATAGATGGTGATATGCAAATTCTCCTGCTATCTTAAACAACTTATGTGAATTTTGCAAACTTGACTTTTTTTTTTTTTTTTTTTTGAGACAGGGTCTTGCTTTATTGCCCAGGCTAGAGCGAGTGCCATGGCGTCAGCCTAGCTCACAGCAACCTCAATCTCATGGGATGAAGCAATCCTGCTGCCTCAGCCTTCCAAGTAGCTGGGACTACAGGCATGTGCCACCATGCCCGGCTAATTTTTCTATATATATTAGTTGACCAATTAAATTCTTTCTATTTATAGTAGAGACGGGGTCTCGCTCTTGCTCAGGCTGGTTTCAAACTCCTGACCTCGAGCAATCCGCCCACCTCGGCCTCCCAGAGTGCTAGGATTACAGGCATGAGCCACCGCGCCCGGCCCAAACTTGACTTTTAATAATAATAATATATGTACTCTCTATATAATGGTCAATATATGTATTCTAATACCATGGTTATTGTAATATCACTTCTAGGAATACAGGGCCAAATCAGAGTTCGTAAAATAAAAAAATAAAAAAAAAGGAAATGTTTGTCCAGGTTTCACATCTTTTTACAGTTTGTCTTTTGGGTGATAGATTTAATATTAATAGCATTCTTATGTTATCTATGGACCACATAATTAAATATACTTTTAATTACACAAGAAGTATAAACATTAGTTTAATTATCAGGATAGCTTTATTTTTTTATTTTTTTATTAATTTTAAAATAGTATATTCAGGATAATATAGGCCCAGTTTAAAAATATTTAAGAATAGATTTCCACATTTAAAAACAGAACAAATCTGTAACTGTAAATTACAGCACTTAGTCACGACTGCCATATAATTCAACAAAACGTTGTACATACAGAAATCCTAAAATGTATTGAAACTATTTTCACATTTGCCTACTTTTTCATTTTATTTTTGAAATTATACAAGATGTTTATGGAATGACTGCCTGGAGCAGACAATAGAGGAAAAATACTATGAATATAAATATGAAAATAAAATTCTGGTATCCATTAATGTTCTCTGTTATGGAGAAACATTATTTCAAATGTGCTAATATTTTTATCGCAAATAGTAGCAGGATATATTTAAATATTAGACAAACCACTTCATTGAAAAACTCTAATTATCAGGATAGCTTTAGAGTTAGGTTCTGTAAAGACCCAGTGCTCTGTCTGGTTAGAGATCATGTCTCCCCGGGTTGGGTTAATGATGAAAAACCTCACCGTAAGCAGTAGGATCAGCTACGTGCTCCTGCATGAAACAGCCAAAGCCGGAGAGGTTCGTTGTCACACTGGGGATACCCATCACAGTGCATTCAGCTGCCAGGAGAAATAGACAAACACGTGGCATCAGACCAACTCCTGTATCTTTATATCCATGCAAAGGAGGAAAAAGCCCTAGTCCTCCTAATAACAGCAATGTTTACTTTGCGCCAAGCATTGACTAAGCTCTTTACATGTCTCGTTAACTTATTTAATCTTCTCAACAACCCTGAAGTCAGGCTATTATTATCCCCACCTTACAGGTGAGAAAACTGAGGCACAGAGAAGTTAAATAACTTGCCCAACTGCACATAGCCAGGGTTCTTGGAAGAGCTGGGATTTGAAGCCAGGCTCCCAGCTGCAGAGTTCTTGCTCAGAAGTACTATACTGCCTCTCCAACCCCAGCTGGTTTTGGTTTTCGCTCCATTCTATCCTGTCTTTAATTACTTGGGAAGTTTAGGGTGTAAGTTAAATATATTTTGGAAATGACCAACTTCTCCCTCTATATAAATCTCCCTTGGGTCTCCTTTTTTTCCCTATCCTCCCAAATTCCTGTCTTTCTAGCTGAGCATGTGGCTATCTGGTTTTCCTCAACCAACCCATACCTGGGGCCTCACCTTCTCACCAAGGGTCCTAAAATCAAGTAGTGCTTCCTAAACAGAAGAACTCCTTCCCTTAAAAAGGAACTCTGGTACCACTGATAAAAGTAGTAAATCCCTCTTATTTGCACAACAATGGTCCAAACGCTCTTCTTAGGAGCCTCCTAAACAGGACTGGTCCCCCCCATAGTAGTAACCCATCCAATCACTCCCGGCGATGTAGATCGCACTTTTATTTCCGCGCATTTAATGCTCACGAAATGGGAGGAAGCCGGGCTAGTAAACATTTTTATGAATGGCAAAAACAGGTTTAGAATATGGTCAGAAAGTAGGGCTGGAAATGTTTAGAAATGACCTGGATACGACTCGAGCTAGAACTTGAACGCCGAAAGTCCTCAGCCATTTCAATCTCTCGTCTCGTCTCGTCCTGGAGTTTTACCCAGAAAACAAAAAGTTCCTTGTTTGTTAGTCGAAGACTTTTGAAATGGAACGCGCGCCTGATTAAAGGTCAAAGGGGACGCGTTATCCCCTTGGCAAGAGAGCTGACGTAGTAGTTGGAGGAAAAGATATAGCTGTCAGCAGACACCGTTCCCCTGCTGAGGCTAGAAATGCATCTCGCAGGATACCATCTAGGCTGCTGGGCGGGCGAGGGGACCCAGGGGACGGGCTTGTCGAGCCTCCTCTTAAGGCCTGCGCTCTGCCAAGTTGGAAACTAAATCCTGGTAAAAGCCCATTCTCCTGCCTGAGCTTCTTGAGTTGCAGGACTACAGGTACATGCCACCATGCCTGGCTAATTTTCTATTTTTTGTAGAGACAGAGTCTTGCTCTTGCAGAGGCTTGTCTCGAAGTCCTGGCCTCAAGTGATCCTCCTGCCTCAGCCTCCCAACATGCTAAGATTACAGGCATAAGCCTCTGTCCCTGGCAAGGAGGTCTTCATTTTTAACAAGGAATTTATATTTGATTATGGACATTACTTTGGTTGTGATG